CCGGCGCTTTTCCAGCCGGGAAGGCATGGAAGCCTCACGCCAGGCTGCCACACAGCAAAACTGGGACTACCGCTGGCAGCAGGTGCCCAAAAAAGGTGAGAGGCCCCAGTGGTGCTGTTCAGTAATTGAACATTGACCCATGAACCAGGAGGTCAAGGTTCAGTTCCAGTCAGGGCACATTGCCCAGGTTGCGGGCTCGATCCCCAGTAGGGGGTGTGCAGGAAGCAGCTGATTGATGATTCTCTCATTATTGATGTTTCTATCTCTCCCGCTCCTTTCCTCTCTCCGAAATCAGTGAAAACATTTTTAAAACATTTTAATAAATACTATTTTTTTTTTTTAAGTGAGAGTGAAAAAAAAGAAAAAAGGAAAAAAAAAGGTGAGAGTGGAAGGTAGAGCCTGAGATATGGAGAGTGAAGAGTCAGGAGTAGTAGTTAAAATATTTAACCCCTAGAGAGGCCTGTCATGGGCACAGTGAATATGCTCTGGCCTGGAGCATTAACTCTTTGTTTGCTGAACCATGTGCAGAGGTTCCCAGGGTAGGAGGGTAGGGAATCACTCAGAACTAACCAATATGAAAGTATTTCAGTATCTTAATCAGCAGAAAGCCCCGCTGACTGTTGGTGAATACCAGTTGACTATTAGGTGGGAAAAGAGCCACCAGTTGGGAGTTGGAAAAATGATTGTGAGCATTGATCTTTGCTAAGGATTGGTGATTTGGGAGAATCCAGACTCCTAACCTAGGGCTCTGCCTGCACCCCTACCCAGCCTGGCGAAAGCTGAAGCTCCCAGGGGACAGCTCCTTGATGACCTACCGGGGCCATGGGGTGCTGCACACCCTCATCCGATGCCGCTTCTCCCCCGCCCACAGCACCGGCCAGCAGTTCATCTACAGCGGCTGCTCCACTGGCAAAGTGGTTGGTAAGGACTGTGTCAGAACAGGGAGCCTTGGGAAGTGCAGTGATGTTTCTTAGGTTATAACTACAAGTGGAGGTGAATTTAGCTTGGCACCAGGGAGGCTTAAACAGAAACAGAAAACATTCTATTGATCAGCATTTTAAATTAAGACAAGGAACATAGAATTCTAGTCAGTAAATAGAACAGATTACCAAAAATATACATGGTTGTTTTGTAGCCAGTCAAGAGAGATTGCAGATGAAAGGTAGGAGGGAACAGAGGTAAACAGGAATGACACAAAGACATTCAGCCCCTAGAGCAGGAGAAATGCACAAACACAGCTACAGCTATAAGGAGCCTGAAACCTCGCACTCAGGTGGAGACCCACCAGAATGAGAGAAAGGTGCGCCCCGTCCAGACAAGGAACAGCAGGTTCTCGTGCCTGTGGAGACATTTATTATTAGATCTGATGCCTTCCACATCTTGTGGGCTTTTTAGAAAATGGCTGCTGAGAGCTTTAAAGCCACATTGCATTTTAAGTGTAGACCTTGTGAGATGTAGCTGAGGACCAGAGATATCCAACCTCTGCTAGACCATACCCTCAATCTGAGGTAGGGAAAAGGGGAAAGAAATTGAGAAGCAGCCCCGTCCTCTGCTGTGGGTTTTGTTACTCTGGACAAGAGGGCTGTTGCTGAGGGGTAGGTAAGTGGTGTTGCTCAGAGAGAGGCAGGGGCCAGAGGCCCCTGTGGCAGCCTCTCCACTCTGGCCTTTGTGAACAGTGTATGACCTCCTCACTGGGCACATCGTGAAGAAGCTGACCAGCCACAAGGCCTGTGTGCGTGACGTCAGTTGGCACCCCTTTGAGGAGAAGATCGTCAGCAGTTCGGTGAGGTTGCAAGCGTTAGGGGGGGCTTTGCATGTCTGGGACTTGGACCTGGGAGTGAGCAGCACCCCCTGACTTCTTGCCACCTTCTGCCCTGCAGTGGGACGGGAACCTGCGTTTGTGGCAGTACCGCCAGGCAGAGTACTTCCAGGATGACATGCCCGAGTCTGAGGGAGACCCCAGTGCTCCTGCCTCAGCGCCCCACCCCTCTTCGGCCTTTTCCTCGCCCCAGTAGATCTGACCTCCAGCCCTTCGTGGCTGAGCCTCTTCCCTTCCTCCTTTCTGAGGGATCTTTGGGGAGTCATTGGCATTGGATGGGGAGAAACAGAAGCCCAGGCTTTCAGGGGCCCTAACTGAGCCCTGGAAAATCCTCCCCGTGGGTCTCCTCACAATCTCACCCCTCATTCAGCTTGGGTCTCTATCTCTGGCTAAGGTCTGGCAGGACTGCCTTTATTTTGGTATGGCCTTTGTCAGCAAGAGAACGGTCCTGAGTGTTTTTAATCATGTTTGGATGTTAGGTGTTAGCTCCTAGAGTAGATGCCTGGGCCAGGTCTGACCAGAGCAGTCAGGCAGGCCCATTACCTGGCCTTCACCTTAAGGATTAGTCTGGCCAATCAGAGGGCCTTTCTCCCAGAGGTCCTGATGGCTAGAGCCGCAGCCCTTTGGGGGCGGGTGGGATGGGTAAGGCATGTCCTCGGCACCCTCCTGGGGTGGGAATTATGTCGTTTCTTTCCTGTGTCTGGGTCGTTGGGGTGTGCCGGGTTGTGGTGTGAGAGGCTCCACGTGGCCGCCTCACACAGGGCAGCCCTTCCTCCCACACGGTCCATCTTGCAGAGGCCAGCAGCTTCAAGGAGGGATGTTGAGTAGGACTCCTTCGTCCTCTCACTGGCTTTGGCTCCCTCAATAAACTCTCTGTGGGAACCTGGCTCGGTGTCTCTGTCTCTCTTTTTCCTGTCTGAGGCCTTTTATACTCTCACATCAAGAAAATAGCTTCAACGAAGCCTTCAGGTTTGCTTCTCTATGGAAAAAAGCATCCCTTTGATGCCCAAGATTTAATCATTTAACCGAGCCTTTCGGTAGGTAGCCCTCCTCCAACTTAGAAACTCCCCAGCAAGTGGAAATCAAGAGAGCAGGAAATAAACACATCTTAGGTCAGCACACTTGCATGAACTGGTCTAGTCGACAAGAAAAAATCGCCCAGAGCCAGAGAACCTGGCGGTCACTGATGCCAAGCCCCTGGGCACTTCACCCCCTCAGCCACCCTTGCACAGTTGAGGACATGGAGGCGTGCAGCGTGCCCCAGAGCAGCCGATGGTGCAGCCACTGGGGAACTAGAGTTCGCATCCAATTCTGATCCATCTTTCCCCACATTTCAAGGCAGTTTTTAAGATTATGTCCTTTATAACTATTTACAATTACAACGAAAACTTGTCAACTTTATTTTTTTAATATATTTTTATTGATTTCTGAGAGGAAGAGAAACATTGATGTTTGGCTGCCTCCTGCATGCTCTCCCATTGGGGATCGAGCCCGAAACCTGGGCATGTACCCTGACTGGGAATTGAACTGTGACCTCCTTATTTATGGGGGACACAACCATTGAGCCACACTGGTTGGGCTGATTAATCCATCTTGATCAGTTTGCAGATGAGGGTGCTGATGACCAAGGAGGGTGAGTTGTCTTCCCAGTCATATCGTTGGGGCCAGAACCCAGGTGTCCGTGCTTGCTCGCTCATTCCTTTCACTACTTTACTGGTCTCTACTGTGCTTTGAAGTCCCACCACCAGTTTTGAGGAATGAGGAAAGAAGACAAAAAGGGGTCCCAAAACAGTTACTGAATAAACAGTTGTTTAAGTAGTTGCTCCCTGCTCCAGCCTCAGTGATCAGGTTGGGAAGCCAAGTCTTTTTTTTATTTTTTTATTCTCATCCAAGGATATGTTTTTATTGATTTTTAAAGAGAGGGAGGAAAGGAGAGATAGAGAAACATTGATGTGAGAGAGAAACATTGATCAGTTGCCTCCCATAGTGATCAAACCTGCAACCTAAATATGTGCCCTGACTAGGAATCGAACCCACAACCTTTTTGGTGTGCGGGACGACACTCCAACCAACAACCACCTGGCCAGGGCAGGAGGCCAAATCTTATGTGTGGCTGAGATCCAGAGTAATTGGTTAGAGGACACAACCTAAGGTTTTTTGTTTTTGTTTTAATATATATATATATATAATTATTTTCAGACAGGAAGGGAGTGGGATAGAGAGTTGGAAACATTGATCAGCTACCTCTTGCACACCTCCCATTGGGGATGTGCCTGTAACCAAGGTACGTGCCCTTGACCGGAATCGAACCCAGGACTCCTCAGTCTGCAGACTGACACCATCCACCGAGTTTAAACCAGTTTTGGCCACAACCTAAGGTGTTTTTTTGTTTGTTTTATTTTATGGGGTTTTTTTTAATTTATTGATTAAGGTATCACATATTTGTCGTCAACCCCCCATAACCTAAGGTTTTGATGGCTGGGGATTTTTGTTCTAGGTCTCCTTCCCTCTTTTCCTCCTTCCCCATCACCTGGGAGTAAACCTAATCTTTGGGTCTTTGAGAGTCCAGTCTGGGCCATCACCATCTCACACAGTATGCCTCTTTCAGGTCACGAGTTTCATCTGTCGGCCATCATAATAAACATACCAAAGAAGGGTCCCCTTTAGATCTAATGTCTTGTACGTTCACACAGCAGCCCTGGGACCAAACTAGCCCCCCCAGAACCCCTCAGACCAGATAAGCTGGGGCTGAGCTAAGTCCCTGGGGTCATAGTTCCCTAAAGTGGCCTGATTGGACAGTGCAGCCATCTGGCTGCATGCTCAGTGGTGGGCTCTTGTGCTCAAACCTAAGGGGAGGGGCTGGACCACACTGATGACGAGGGAGACAGATTTTTAATAAATCCCACGGTTTGGTTTTATCTTTCTGACCCCTAATTTCCCTGTGGATCAAACACATAGTAAAGTTGGGATGAAGTGGGACGACTGGCTGACCAAACAGAAATAGGCAGATCCAAGCAGACTGTGGTCCAAGACAACCCTAAACAGTGGGCCTGGCCCTACGGCATGAACTAGAACATAGAGCTGGGGACAGACCTAGAGGACCAAGGGGACACGGCCTTAGTAGGAAGGACACAGGCTGCGATCCAGACACCCCGAGGCTGGGACCCTGCTGACGTGGCAGCCCTCTGCCCTGGCCCCATACGGCCCCCCGCCCCTCTCCCTCGCCTGCCAGCTGCCAACAGGGCTCTGCTCTGTGTCTGCCACACCTGTCACTGCCTGTCCTTGCCCCGGGGGGGCCCCATCAGCCCCTCCTCAGCTGCCCAGCAGAGCAAGCAGTTAGTGGGGAGGGGAGGGAACATGGAGCGGGGGCCGGCGGTGGGGGCAGGGCTGGGGGCCAGGGCCCGAATCCGGGCATTGCTGGGCTGCCTGGTCAAGGTGCTGCTCTGGGTGGCCTCTGCCTTGCTGTATTTTGGAAGTGAACAGGCTGCCCGCCTCCTGGGCAGCCCCTGCTTACGGCGCCTGTACCATGCCTGGCTGGCAGCAGTGGTCATCTTTGGGCCCCTTCTTCAGTTCCACGTCAACCCTCGGACCATCTTCGCCAGCCACGGGAACTTCTTCAACATGTGAGTCCGCTCGAGGCGAGGGGCGCCGGCTCCCTGCCCTCTGGGATCCTAGCTCCCTCCGGGCTTCTGTCCTCCTGCCAGGCCAAACACTAAAAATAGGCTAGGAGGTTGAAGAGAAAGAAGAGGGGGAGGGGGACTGCTTGGGGGAGGGGGGAAGAGTCGGGAGCAGGACTGAAGAGGAAATATGGACCCTCAAAGGCTGAATGGCCCTTAAGTGGGTGGGGGTGGGAGGTATAGGAAATAGACGCCCAGTGATGAAATGTAGGACTGGGCACAGCAGCGGAGAACACAGAGCGGAGCCGGGAGACGGGGCGGAGGGGTCTCAGTAATCTCCCCTCTCGTCTGCCCACAGAAAGTTCGTGAATTCCGCGTGGGGCTGGACATGCACCTTCCTGGGGGGCTTCGTTCTGCTGGTGGTGTTCCTGGCCACACGGCGCGTGGCGGTGACTGCCCGGCACCTGAGCCGGCTGGTGGTGGGGGCCGCCGTGTGGCGGGGGGCTGGCCGGGCCTTCCTGCTCATCGAGGACCTGACCGGCTCCTGCTTCGAGCCCCTGCCCCAGGGCCTGCTGCTCCACGAGCTGCCTGACCGCCGCAGCTGCCTGGCAGCCGGCCACCAGTGGCGGGGCTACACGGTCTCCTCCCACACCTTCCTGCTCACCTTCTGCTGCCTGCTCATGGCTGAGGAAGCCGCAGTGTTTGCCAAGTACCTGGCCCACGGGCTGCCCGCCGGGGCGCCCCTGCGCCTTGTCTTCCTGCTCAACGTGCTGTTGCTGGGCCTCTGGAACTTCTTGCTGCTCTGTACTGTCATCTACTTCCACCAGTACACTCACAAGGTGGTGGGCGCCGCGGTGGGCACCTTCGCCTGGTACCTCACCTACGGCAGCTGGTATCATCAGCCCTGGTCTCCAGGGAGCCCTGGCCACGGGCTCTTCCCTCGCCCCCACTCCAGCCGCAAGCGTAACTGAAAGAAATAAAAGCACGTTAGGCCTGGCTCTGGCCCCTCTCATCATTTGGTTGGTGGGAGGGGGAGGGGGGAAGGGGGGGTGGAGTGGGGAGACACCTGAAAGGATGGGAAGGGCAAAAAGAGAGGCTGGAAAATAAAATAAATAAATATTAGAAATAAATAAAAGAGAGGCTGATGGTCATGAGATTCCTCAGCCATTCCTTGCTGTTATCAATTTTGAATGTCCTCCCTTATGCTCAATGGCCGTTTCTCCTGTGTTCTTTTATTCTCCTAGTCCTCACAGACTTTGAGCTGTTTGAGGCTCTGAAGCCAAGGAGTGACACTGCTAGGGCAGGTAACGGTGCCCTTGGGTATCGGCAGCATTCCTGCTGAGCAGGTGCTCCATCTCCAGCCTGGTTGATTTTTTCCCCTGCCTCTTCCACTGAATCCTACCCCTGCTCTCTGCAGGGGCCTGCCTATCTTCCTCACAGGGGTCAATGTGTGCTCATTTATTTAATAGGTGTTTATTAAACCAAGCATAGTTCTATGCCAGGTGAATAAGAAAGACTAGTGTAGTGTATCCCTCATCTTACAAAGGATGTCTCAAAAAGTTGAATTATGGAGTCATTTATTAAAAGCCGGCGGCATACGAGGGGCTAAAGCTCCGAATCTCACAGCCCCGAACAGCTTACCACATCTGGCTTATATTGGTAGAATATCACAAAGGTATCAATTACATCTTTGGGTCTGGAATGAGGAACTTGTTTCGTGAGCAAGTTCGTTATCTAAAGTATCTATGAATCACTGAATCAACAGAAACACATTATCTGGGACCACCGGGGCAATTTAGAATAATTGTGCTGTCCAGATTCTGGGACCACTGAGTCAACCGAAACTCAGTTATCTGTAGCTACTGAGACAATTAGGATAATTGAACTATCCTGAGTCCCAGAAGAATGTGCTTCAATGACCTGTGAGATCACAATCAATGGGATATTCAAACCATCATCAATGGAGTATTGAGATAGCATACATAAGTTCAGAAAATCAAAATAACTTTCTATTTTTTTTTTTAAAGAGGGGATTGCTTCAGGCAGGGTTCCCTTTCTTTTCTTTTCTTTTTTTAAATATATTTTATTGATTTTTTACAGAGAGGAAGGGAGGGCGATAGAGAGTTAGAAACATTGATCAGCTGCCTCCTGCACACCTCCCACTGGGTATGTGCCCACAACCAAGGTACATGCCCTTGACCAGAATCGAACCTGGGACCCTTCAATCCGCAGACCAATGCTCTATCCACTGAACCAAAGTGGTTTCGGCACTTCCTATTGTTTTAGCAAACAAATAAGTACAGAGCCCAAACAGTGGTTTCTACCTGAGATGATTGCTACCATACTTCACTAGGTTTTTGCTACTTGGGGGCTAATGGGTTGATTACTGGGGAAGGTAGATGATATGCTCACAATAACAAGTAATTTGTATTGTGCTTACTCTGTGCCAGGCACCATTCTAAGTGTCTGTAAGTTCTTCATATAAATTAACACATTTAGCCCTGGTGGTGCTCCTGGCTACACGGCATGTGTGTCCATTGTACAGTTGGGAAAACTGAAGCACTTGTTCACAGCTAGTAAACATGAGAATCAGGATTATAAACCCAGGCACTATGGGTCTAGTATCTGTCTCTAAACCAGGTATAAGCAAATTATAGCCCTCCTGTGGCCACTTTTTGTATTGCTTGATTGCTAAGAAAGGTTCTTAACATTTTTAAATGGCTGAAAAAAAATTAAAGGAGTATTGCATGATATCTGAAAATTAATGTGAAATTCAAATTCCAGTGTCCATAGATAAAATTTTATTGGAACCTAGCCACACTAATTTATTTAAGTATAGCTACTTGCCTGCTACCATGGCAGAGTTGAGTACTGTGTTGCTATAGACACTATATGGCCCCAAAAGCCTAAAATATTTACTATCTGGCCTTTTACAGAAAACGTTTGTTTGTCAAATCCTGGTCTAAACCACACAAGCCTCAAAAATTAAACTGACTGATATCAGAGATAAGTGCTATGATGGTACTTAAATGGGATGCTTTGTAAAAGAGAGACTTGGCACCCTCGCTGATTTGACTCAGTGGATAGAGTGTGGCCCTGCAGATTGAAGGATTCGGGGTTCAGTGCCAGTCAGGTGATGGGTGATTCTCTGTCATCATTGATGTTCCCCTCTCTCCCTTCCTCTCTGAAATCAGTAATATATATATATATATATATATATATATATATATATATATATATATATATATATATCCAAAAAGTTCTAAGCAAGAAAGAGCCAGATTCTGCTGCTTGTGGAGAGCGGGTTATAGAGAAATGGAGTCCACAACAAGGGTCCGGCTTGGAGTCTGAATGTCACTGCATTGGCAGAGGATGCCGGGGGAACCAGGGACGCATGCTGGCAGGGCTGAGGGGAAAAAGCCAGGCCTGTTCCACAGCTGAGGAAAGATGGCAGAGCACCAGATAAGGCTTATCCCTGTCCCAGGGCCAGCAGATGAACAAGAGAGCCGGTGGGAAGTCAGGAGGCGGGGGCGCGGGGGAGGGAGTCCAAAGGCGGGCACTGGCCGGGAAGAGGGAGTGCACGGATCTTGAAGCCAGAGAGGCGAGAATCGAAGCCCAGAGCGCCCAGGCGTGGGAAGGAGGCAGGGGAGGAGGGAAGAGGAAGAAAGAGGAGGGAGGAGGAGGGAGGAGGAGGGAGGAAGAGAGAGGAGAAGGCGGGGCGCCCAGAGCAGGGAGGCGGGGCGGGGGGCGGGGGGCGGGCGGAGGAGCTCAGTGCAAACGCTCCCCATGGGCTCTAGGGGGCGCCCGGCCCGAGCCGCCAGGCTCCGCACGCCTCCCCCCACCCCGCCCCGTCCCCACCCGGCCCCTCTGGGCCAGTCCCCGCCTCCTCCAGCGCCTCGGCTCCCGCTACCCTAGAGGGCGGCCGGCTGCGCGCGCTGCTTTCGCTTTCCCTTCCCCAGCCCCGTCCTCCTCCTCGTGCGGCGCTGGGACCCGGGACCCCCGCCGCCCAGCCATGGCCACGCTCAGGGTGCAGCCTGAAGCCCAAGCCAAGGTGAGCGCTGTGGGTCCGAGGAAGGACCATCCGGGAGGCGTGGCGCCGAAAAGCTGGGGGCGTAGGTGACCCGGCCCCCACGCCCCCGACCCGGGGGGTCCGTCTTCGAGCCCCAGTGAGCCTCCAGGCCCGGAGCACCTGAGCCCCAGGAGCCCCGCGGGTTCGGCGCCGGGAGGGGAGGCGGCCGGGGTGCAGCGGTGCAGCGGGGTGAGGTGAAGCGGAGAGCTGGCGTGGAGGGGAAGCCCGCTGGCCCGGCGCCGGGCCCACACACAGGCGTGGTGCGGGGCCCGTCCGGCCACCACCGTGCCTTTTCCACGGGGAGGGCCCGGGGCCCACCACGCAGGGCACTCGCTCCGCCCCTGCCCTGGCGCGGAAGGCTCTCACCCCTCTCCTTACACAGCCCAAGGCACCCAAGGGACCTGTTCTCACTAGAACCCCTCGCCCCTTCGCAGCCCGGAAGGTTCTCATCCCCAAAACCCAGTCCCAAGGGCATCCACTCCACCCTCCCCCGGCCCAAACCCGACACAGCCCTAAGGGAACAGTACCCAGGTGAACTGGCCATTAAGCCAGGTGTCTGAAAGGCTGCCTGTGTCCCACAGGTAGATGTGTTCCGTGAAGACCTGTGTACCAAGGTAAGACCTACCCCATCAGCACCCCACTCCTACCCAGTTCCCACTGCTTAGCCCTTCCTTGCTGAGCAGGGTCAGCCCTGCTTTGCTGCCTAGGAAGGACGTTTGATTCTAACACCCCACCCCCCATCTCCCGCAACTTCTCCCAACTCCACGGCATTCACAGACAGAGAACCTGCTCGGGAGCTACTTCCCCAAGAAGATTTCTGAGTTGGATGCGTTTTTAAAGGTACTGAGGCTGAGCAGGGAGCCAAAGAGTAGGGGCTAAGGGGCCAGGAGGATGCCCTTGCCTCCAGCCTTCCTCCTACCCTGTGCCAGGAGCCAGCTCTCAATGAAGCCAACCTGAGCGACCTGAAGGCCCCATTGGACATTCCTGTGCCTGACCCGGAGAAGGAGAAGGAGAAGGAGGAGCGGAAGAAACAGCAGCAGGAGGCAAGCCAGGAAGAGCTGGGAGGAGGGACCCAAGAATGGGAAAATTAGCCTTACATCTGACTCCCAAGAGCCATTCTTTCCCTGCAGAAGGAAGACAAGGATGAAAAGAAGAAAGAGGATGAAGACAAAGGTACCACTCTGGTGGGAAGGATCTTGAGTCTTCTCGGCCAGGAGCGCCTCCTAAAGGATCCCTCTTCCCCACCCCTCACTCAGTCCCAGCGTGTGACTGACCTACTGCCCACTCTCTAGGTCCTCCCTGTGGCCCCGTGAACTGCAACGAGAAGATCGTGACCCTCCTGCAGCGCCTAAAGCCTGAGATCAAGGACGTCATTGAGCAGCTCAACCTGGTGAGCCCTCCTACTTCACTGCCCCCTCTGGGTTTTAGTCAAACCCTTTTCTTCCTTGGCCCCTGCCATTGAGGGCCTCTGGCACCTGCCAGGTCTCAGCAGGAGAGGGCATAGCCACAAAGTCAGAAGTTTAAGTCCTGGGGCTCAAAGTGGGCAGGGAGCAAAGGAGGACAGGAATTCGGGAATTGGGTTGAGGGATCGATGTGGCTTTGATGCTGTTCCCTCCTCCCAGGTCACCACCTGGTTGCAGCTGCAGATACCTCGGATTGAGGACGGAAACAATTTTGGAGTGGCTGTCCAGGTTAGAGCACTGCCTCATTCCTCTGCTCTCCTTACCTCTCTGGTCCATGCTGTCTTCCACTTTCCCCCTTGAATTCTTCCCCCAGGAGAAGGTGTTTGAGCTGATGACTGCCCTTCACACCAAGCTGGAAGGATTCCACACTCAAATCGCCAAGTGAGAGTCTGCCCAATCGCACCCATTACACATTCTGCCTTTGACCTGGATCGAGGCCTCGTCTCTCTCCTTCTCCCACTCCACCCCCTTCTGTTTCCCACAGGTATTTCTCGGAACGGGGTGATGCCGTGGCCAAAGCAGCCAAGCAGCCCCACGTGGTAGGTGAGACCCAGGGTGGGGTGTATTGGAAAGGAAGGACACATTTGAAGCCAGCCCTGACCCAGGTCTCCCACAGGGCGATTACAGGCAGCTGGTGCATGAGCTGGACGAAGCAGAGTACCGGGATATCCGGCTGATGGTCATGGAGATCCGAAACGCTTATGTGAGGAGGAGAGGGTGGGGCAGGGGTGGGAGAGGCAGCTTTCCCAGGCCACCCTTCCCCTGACTCTGCAGCTGGGGGTGAAGGGTGGCAAAGGTCCGTGTCTCTGCCAGGTTAGAAAGGAGGCACAGAGCCACTGGGAACTTAGGGCTGATTCCCACTCCATCTTGGTCCCCTAGGCTGTGTTGTATGATATCATCCTGAAGAACTTTGAGAAGCTCAAGAAGCCCAGGGGAGAAACAAAGGGAATGATCTATTGAGAGCTTCCTCGTACACTGTCATGGGTCCAGCAGAGACCTTCCTGTCTCTGACAGGGAACTTCAGACTTTGTGCCACCTTCTGCCATTTGAGGGTTCTCCCTCACTTGCCTCTTAGGCACAATAAATAGAGTCATAATGCTATCCACTAGCTCAAGTCTCTTTATTGGATCCTGGCACATACACACACAAACACACACCCTCCGGCCCTGGCTCAGGCATTTCCATTGGTGGGACCAACCCACTGAGTGATTTTGGTGTTGAGCTGCTGGTTGGTCCAATCCTGCCGGATATCATCAAGGTGGCAGTCAAAGTCCACAAGGTGCTGCTGGGCCCGGCTCTCCAAGAGTGCTCCCACCATCTGTCGTGACTCTTCCCAGTCCCTCCACATCACTCTGAAACAATAACCCTCATGAAGGTCAAACTCAGCAGGCAGTGGGGCCAGACATAACAGATTAAGTCTAGAGCAGTGGTCACCAACCTTTCGGACCTCACTGACCACCAGTTGGCGACCACTGGTCTAGAGAATGACCCTTGGGACAGGACCAAGGACAGAGGCCCCGGCCCTGGATTTCCAAGGAGAGGTAGAGGGAGTGGGGCACTCACAAGTTCTTGTCCTTGGGGACCCAGCAGGGACCTTGGTTCTCCAGAACGATGACTGGGGGCACATGAGGCTGAGGCACCAGTTTCTGGTTATCCAACTGTGAAGATAAGGGCAGGTGAGAGCTTCAAGGATCTGCCTTCCTACTTTCTTTCCAACCCCCTTCTCCAAAGCCAAGCCTCACCATAATAAGTACTGCATCAGGGAAGAATTCTGCAATCCGCCCAGCGATTTTCAAGGCTAGGGGCCCAGGGCTGTGTAGAGGGAAGATCAGAGGAGTGAGGAGCCGACTGGAGAGACCCCGTCCATCTGAGCTGTGCTTCCCAGATTCCACAGACACGGATGCAGGGATTGGCTTTCCCTGTAGTTAACCTGGGGGTTCAGGTCTGCTTGCTGCTTCCCGCAGGGCTGCTGGATGCTTGTGTGCTGTGGGAAACAGGTGCTCGGACACTGCTGGTGAGAGTGGAAATCAAAGGTGGTCTTGGGGTGGGGGGGTAAGTTGGCATAACAATCCAAATTTAAACTGTATGCTACATACATGCTGACCCAGACATTCCACTTATAAAGAAATTACTGTAATAATAGTCGGGCAGTGTAATAAAAAATTGTGACAACCTCAATATTCAGTACAGGCATTAAATAAATTACAGTACATCCTTATTCACATTACACAGCCTTAGCTTAGGTAGATCCTGGTGTAGAGATGGAAAGATGTCAGATATTCACTAAATGAGAGGAAAGTACATTAAAAACAACAACTATGTATACTTTGATCCAGATATATAATACAAAAATTGAGATAATTTTTTTCTACTTATAGAAAAGAAATGTTGTGGTTTTTATTTAAGTTGCTAGCTGGGCTTCCGGTGTGCTTTTAGCAGTTGGGGGAAGGGTGCCTCGGTGAGAACAAGCGTCAGCCTTTTCTTATACACAGTCATCCTGCCCACACCACCAAAGCTCCCCAGAGTGTCTTTGCATTTATATTTCCTCACTCAGTACCCAACCTCATTCATGCCTGGTGTACAGTCCCTACTCCTAAGCTTTGATTAAGGAAAGATGGAAGGAACGACCAAGAGGAATGTTCTTGACACCACCCCCACCCGCACCCCATAACCCTTAGCCTTCCGCCTCTGGCTCCCAGACTCACCTTTGATCATGGAGAGCCGCATTGGCATGGTAGTACCCAGCCAGTACCAGGCCGGTCTGCGCGCCCCACACGTCTACCTGCCGTGGGAAAGGGCCGTCAGTGCCGCCCTGTGGGTGGTCACTGCTGGAGGCGGGGATAGGCTTGGGCAAGGGGTGATAGGGGGGTTCACAGTGGTCGGTGGGCGGCCAGCAGCCGCACCTGGTGGAGGGCGACCTCCAGCATGACGGACAGCGCCAGGTGGCTGTGGAAGAGCGGCACGCAGTCGGTGAGGCACAGGCATTCTCCCGACCGCGGCGCGGGCGCCAGCAGCAGCCCGTTGACCGCGGCGTGCGGGTAGCGGGCGGCGTGCAGGCACATCTTCCCGTAGGCCCGCGCCGAGATCTCCACCTCCCCCATGGCTAACCGGGCCCGGCTCGCGTCTGCCAGGCTTCCTCCAGCGCCCCACACCCTCCTGGCCCTTCCTGTGTCCCCGCCCCCCGCTTAGGTCCGGGGGTAACCCCGGTTTGCCTGGAAGGGGCCTCGGCTCCGGAGCCGGGAACGTAGGCAGCCGGATGGCATGGTACAGTACCCAGCCCCGCGTCCGCCAGACCCCAGGGGCGGCCACACACCCGAGCTGGACCAGCTCCTAGACTGACTGCCTACACCGTGCTCTTTGATAGGCTCAGAGGCCTCGTTTTGTCCAATCACCGGCCTCATCCAAAACTTGTCCCACCTTTGTCTCCAGCAGAGTGGAAAGAACCCACCGCAGCAAAAGGAACAGCTGCACGCTGGCTGGCTAGGCTTCCCAAATAGGATTCGTGATTGCAGGACTGCTTCTTCCCTTACCTGTGCCCCAGCCCCCAAGGAGCCCGCAGAGTCAGCCCGCGTTAGGTGTCCAGAGTAGTAGATCTTTGACCTTGGGCATGTAGCCAATTAACTTGCTCCTACTATTGAATGAGGTTTGTACTCTAGACGGCTCTTGCATTTATTAATGAGCCAACTATAGGTTATCTGGCCTTTGGTTTCCTTGATGTAATATCTGCAGAAGTGAAGACAGCAATTGACTGAAGGAGGATAAAATATATATATATATATATATATATATATACATATATATATATATACACACACACATACATACACACACACACACACACATACACACACACATACACACACACACACACACACACACACACAGACCCATAATGTCCTGTGCTATAATTTGCTTTAGCATAATGCCTTGAGGAGGTTTTTTTCCCCCCCTCCCAGTCTTTGAGAAGTTCAACCATTAACCTGTAATGCTTCCAGTGAAACGTCATTCTTTCTCCAGGCTTGCTCTGAACTGATGAAGTGATGGAAGGCTTTTCCTTTCTTCATTCCCTGACCTCAGCCAAAGAGCTTTCCTCTTGTCGGTCCCAACCTTGATTCTTCCTGTAAGGGCTCTGCCCAAATGCCACCTCTTCCAAGAAGCACTCATGAAACTCCCAGATGGAAATAATCTTGTGAAAATCCCAAATACAAGTTATCTTCATGGCCTTGGTGGCATGTAACAGTTTCCACCCTGTTTTTTGTTTTGTTTTTTTTTAATATATTTTATTGATTTTTTTACAGAGAGGAAGGGAGAGGGATAGAGAGCTATAAACATCGATGAGAGAGAAACAGCGACCAGCTGCCTCCTGTACAACCCCTACTGGGGATGTGCCCACAACCAAGGTACATGCCCTTGACCAGAATCAAACCTGGGACCTTTCAGTCCGCAGACCGAAGCTCTATCCACTGAGCTAAACCGGCTTCGGTTCCACCCTATTACTTATGATGACTTCTTAAGAACAGAATTGGCATATAATTCATCTTTGTCTTCCTGGAACCCCCTACCTTTCCCACCACCACATTCACATTCAGTGTCTGGACAAAGGTGGCACTCAGTAAATGCTTTCTGAATGAACGACACACACCAGAGGTAATCCACACAAAGTATTGGTAATTTATTTCCTTTTAGCCGTGGAGTCAGTACATAGATGGCTTCTCTTCACCCTTTGGGTTGACAATTTTCTCCAGGTTGCTGCTAATGATATGATAAAGCTCAGCCTGAAAGAAGGCCAACAAGTACAGCAGTCAGGTTCTTGGCTCTCCCTCTGTACCCCTTCATCCAAATCCCTTGGGGGCTTACTCCGTACTCACATAGAAGGCCCTTAGGTCCAGCACCATGGCCCTGAGCTCCCTATAGGCTGCCTCATCTCGCTCGTGCACCAAGGCCCGGTAATCCATCTGGGATGTGGAAGGCAAAGCTGAGTCAGGGGGCTGAGACAAAGTCTGGTTCCCTCATACAGGGAATAGGTAACTTGAGGATGAGCCCTTAGCACAAGAAACGGGATTCCCACAGTGCCAAACAAAAAAAGGGTCAATATTTTCGAAACCCAAATCAGTTTCCTAGGCAATGCTTTCCCTTAATATTCCCCATATTGGGAAGGTCATAAACAAAACAAAGAGGACTTCTATCCCTCTTTCCTCACCCTCCCAGCCGCCAGCCTCAGCAGAAAGGCTAGTAGACAATCTACTCACTACATGGGTCTCCTTAGAGGCCTTGGCCACAGCATCTCCACGTTCTGAGAAGTACCTGCCAGAAGCAAGGGGAGTAACCACAAGAATGGGCATTCAGAGAGATACATTCCCTCAGGCCCCTCCCAAAGCCCCCCACCGTCCTAATGGGACTGCCTACCTTTGGGAGTCCCCAAAGCCACTCCCCTACTCCCCATCCCCCATGGTGGCCTTCTTGGTGCCCTCACTTGGAAATGGTTGTCTGGAAGGCTTCTACTTTGGTCTTGACTGCATTCATTCTCTCCAGAACCTTCTCCTGTGGTGACAAAAGAGATGGGAGGCAAAGAAAACACTTCATCTCCTCCCGTCTTTATTCATCATCTTCCTATTGCTTCTTGGCCTTTTGGCTAAGATCAAGTGTAGTATTATCATCTTCCTCCTCCTCCCAGTTATGTCTACCTCCTTTTCCTTACTCTCCAAGTCTCTTCCAGATTTTAATGTCTTCATACACCCTTTTCTTACCTGGATTGCTACTCCAAAGTCATTTCCATCCTCAATCTTGGGGATCAGGTGCTGGATCCACGCGATCACCTACATGAAGAGGTATCATGTCGGAATCATTCAACAAATTTACTGGGTTCTTCCTATTTCTGCTATTTCATAACAATGGCTGTATTTAATTGAGCATTTATTATGTGCTAAGTACTGTGTTATGTATTATGCATCTCATTTAATCTTTCAAGTTATATATTCTTTTAAAAAAAAAAAACTGATTTATTTATTATTATTTTTTTCAATCCTCACCCAAGGATATTTTTCCATTGGTATTTAGAGAGAGTGGAAGAGAGAGGGAAAGACAGAGAGAAATATCGATGTGAGAGAAACACATCGATTGATTGCCTCCTTAACACACACAGTGACCAGGGCTCAGGCCAGGGAGAAGCCTGCAACCAAGGTATGGGCCCTTGACCGGAATCAAACCCAGGACTTTTTGGTCCACAGTCCAATGCTCTATTCAAACCATCGAGGGCTCCAGTTATATATTCTTATTATTATACCCACTTAACAGATGAAAAAAAAGGAACCATAGAACATTTAAGTGACTTAAGATAACCAGCTAGGTAAGTGATAGAGTCATGATTTGAATCCAGGCAGTTTTCCTCTAGGGCCAAACTCTTAAATCAACTCACTATATTATAGCATCTGCACTATCCAGCTGGTACAGCAGTGAGTTCTGAGGTTACGGAGGTGAATATAGCACGGCCTTTGATTTCAGGGATACCACAGTGATATGAGAGGTCTAGAGGAATAAAAGGTATCTAAACCTGTGTCACAGAAGGAGGCTTCCTATTTCAGGAATAGGTTCCTGAAGGAAGGAGTTGCATTTCTGAAGGACACCAGGGCCTGGCCTGGCTTGTCTTCTCTATTTTCCTCAGTTCCCAGGCTTACCAGAATACATTTTTCTTTGAGAGTCCAGACTTCTGGCTTAACCAGGGCAAGCAGGGCCAGGAGCTTCTCATTCCCAGGGAGAAAGCCGCACTTAGGGACTGTGAAAAAGAAGGGACGTAGGCCCCTTTTTTTTATCCAGCAGTATTGTGCCATTTCCCTTTCCCTAGCTACCCATTCTTTTCTTACCTTCTTTCTTCTCCTGCTTATCTGTTTCCATCTAAAGTAGAAAGGGTGAAAGTAGCTTCAGAAAAGTCATGGGGATGAGAGAGCCATCCTTTGCAATAGTCTAAACCCTACCCCTGAGAGCCTCACCTCGTCATCTTTGGGCGGAGGGTCTGGAATAGGGATGTCCAGTGAGGCTCGGAGAGAGGTCAGGTCGGCCACATTGAGGGAGTCCTCCTGCACAAAGCTTCCTGTCAGGGGCCGCCCGACCTTCCCTCCACCCATCCCTCCTGCTCTCTCCCTCCCAACCTAGGCTCAAGCCTCACACCATCCTCAAATTCCCAGTCGACCACTCACACCTGTTCTCTACCTGCTGAGCCCAGTTTTTAGTTAGAGAGGGTGGGTGGAGAGGACAGAGGTCATGGGATGAAGCAAAAGGGGTCCATACCACTCACTTGCAAGAGCTGATTCAGGTGTATGATCTTCTGTGGCAAGAATGTGTGGAGGAATTCCTCAGCCTGTGGGTTATATTAAAGGGTGGGGAATCACAGAAAACACTCAGTGTGATGTCTGAGAAGTGGGACTCAATCCAAGACCTACAAATGAGGAAACTGAAGTCCTGAAAAGTGAAGGGACTTGCCCAACTGGGAAGTGGCAGATTCAAGGTTAGGGCTGCGGTATTGGGCTTCGGGGCCACAGCATCTCCCTCCACACCATAAGAGTGGAGAAGAAGTGGCAGAAATGGGGACAATATTAAAAGATGTCAAATTAGAGGTAGAGATCCATTAGGAGCTTATCTTGGGTGAAGGCTTGATAAGGGAAGTAGGGCCAAAGTCTAGGGTGGGTTCGGGGGTCACTCTGAGAGGTTGTGATCCTTAAGCATCGACCTAAGATTCTAGGTCAAATAGCTTGAATCCAGAAGACTTACCTCCTGGAAAAGATTCTGCCTGAAGACATCCACCTGCATAGAGAGCAGTACCCGAATGTTGGTTAAAGGTCTCAATTATCAACAATCTCATCCCCAATTAAATGCCCTCCAACTTGGCTCTGGCCTTTCCCACCACAAGCCAGATTTCCTTGCAAGTCCTTGCTCAGAGCAGACAGGCCAGAGGGCATGAATCTGGGAATCCCCGGGCAGAAGTGAAAGCACTAGTGAGAGAGGGAGGCTGGGGTAGCTCTCCGGCACGGCCTTGGTCCCCTGGAACGCCCAGCTTCGCCTCTATCCAGGAGGGCTCCCCGGCCCCGCTCCTAGCTCCCCGGTCCCCCTTACCTGTTTGCGGGCTTCCCCGCTCAGGCGCACCCCACAAGGCTTGGCCATGCTGCTCCGGTGGCTAGATCTCGGGTCTCTCCGGGCTCACCTCCTGGGCTT